CATCTTTGAGATTCTTTTCGCTTGCTTAATTGGCATACTGAAGTTTACCATTTGCCAGGCATTTTACTGTCTAGTCCTTATTTAAACTTTAAAATCTCTCTGCAGCCCCCATACCCTTTGAAAATTAGGTTAGTGAGCTAGGGTTTTTAAAGCTAATAACTTGCTCCAGGTTGTGTAGTGAAGATGGTACAAAATAAGGATTTGAACCCGTTCTTTGGTACCAAATTTCAAACTTACTTCTAAGCCAGGGGTTCTAACCTTTAGTGTACAGCAGAGTTGTCTGGAGAGCTCACATTGTTGGACCTTTTGAGTTTCTGATTTTGTTTTGCTATCTTAGAGTCTAAGAATTTACAATTCTTTTGTGCTGCCATTGGTGCTGGGGACTGTTTTGAGAGGTGCTCCTTAATACTAAGCCGCCTGCCTTATTTTCTCTGATGAGTAAATAAGAGACTTTTGCTTTAACTTTCTCATTGCTGAGACAAATATCCTGACACTCATAACTTAAAAGGGGAGGTTTATTTTGACTTACATATTAGAAGTTTCAGTACTTGTGTCATTGGTGGTGTGGTGTCACTGCATGACAGGCAGGAAGTAGAGGAAGTCAAGAGAGGGGCTAGGAAGGAAGATACACCCTTCCGGGTTATAGCCACAGTGACCTCCCTTTTCTGACAGATCCCACCTCCCAATTCTAAGTCAGCTATAGCTCCTCCACAATCCAATCACCTTCTCCAAACATGAGACTTTGGGATTATTTTAGTTCTAAACCATAATAACTTCACATGCCATAAGTTGACAGTTACTAATATTTAGTGACTACTTAACCATATTCTTAGCATTAATTCTTTTTTGTCTTCATATTATCTTAGGAGGTAGTTGAATTGTAGGGAAAGAATGAGGGTAGGCTTCACCACTTAAGAGAAGGAAACTAAAGTCGAGAGGTACTCCGTTAAGAGGTCTCCCAATGTGTTGGTGGCAAGAGCTGCTTGCCCTTATTATGGCTTCTGTCATCTGAGCTGGTTTCGAAGGCCTGTGTATTTGGAGTCATCTCCAGAAGGGGATTTTGTGCTGTGGGAAGGTTGAGAGGCCAGGGGATCCTCCTTTTATGTTGGTGTTTTGTGTCCTTAGAAGTTTTCTGTGGGGTAGGCCTTTTCATGTCATTCTCCTAGCAATCTGATGGGTAGATGACATCCTTTGTTATTCTGATGAATGATGAGAATCTGGAAATGACCTATATTTCAGATGTGCTGTGAGACCTTTGATATTCATTAATACGGATAAAAGGGATTCCAGGAGCTTTTGTATGTAAGAACTGGGCTAGTCATACCAGAAAATTAAGTTAGAAGGTGTGGTGATTGATGGTAGCTGCCCTCCAACAAGGCATTCACTAATCTATAATGTTAGTTTACCATTGCTGCTCCAAAAACCAAGGAAAATTACAAATGTGAAAATGAGTGAGGGAAAAATAAATTTGTAATTATGTCTGAAACCTGTACTTTACTGTCTTAGGAAACTATGTCATTTCCTAGTTAGTTTTAGAGTCTTAAAGAAATAAGTTTTACCCAGGCGTAATGGTGCATGCCTGTAATCCCACTGCATGTAGGCTGAGGCAGAATTGTTGTGAGTTCCAGATCCTGGGCTATGTATTTATAAAAAATAAGTCATGTTTATTCTTTCTTTTAAGGAACACTCATAACAAACCATTATAGTGGAGAATTTAGTTAATTTGTATCAGAATACCTAAATCTGAAATTAGTGTGGCTGGATGCATATTCTTATTTTAGGGGCACTGATATAATTTCTGTGATGCCAGTGTTTGAATCCTGGATAAGTATTTATTTTTAAAAGTATAGCAATTTTCTGCAGAACTAGCCTGGATTTTAGGCTTCGTTACACATAGCTTGGGGTCCTCTGACTTAACATGGCTTGATTTTTTAACAGTGGTTTTTTTTCCAGTCTTAAGCTGTGATCTCTCAAAGGGATTGAATGAATGACTTATTCTGCTTTTTAAATATTCTTTTCTAGAAAGAAATAAAAGGGGTAAAGATAGGAAAAGAAGAAGTTAAATTATCATTGTTCACAGATGATATGATACTCTACATAGAAGACCCCCTAAACTCCATTGAAAGACTCTTAGATGTAAAAAATAAATTAAGTAATATAGCTGGATACAAAATCACAGAGAGAGAAGAGAAACCATACCCTTCACACTAGCAACCAAAAAAATGAAATATTTAGGAATTACTCTTACGAAAGAAGTAAAAGACCCATACAGGGAAAATTATAATACACTGAAAAAAGAAATTGAAGATGATCTCAGAAAATGGGAAGACATCCCATGCTCATAGATAGGAAGAATAAATATTGTGAAAAGGGCCAGTCTCCCAAAACGCTTATACAGATTCAGTGCAATCCCAATAAAAATACCATCCACATACCCCATAGATCTAGAGAAATCACTCCTAAAATTCATCTGGAACCAGAAGAGACCTCGAATAGCAAAGACAGTTCTAAGCAGTGAAGGCGAGGCAGGAGGCATCATAATCCCTGACTTGAAGTTATACTACAAATCAACTGTAGTAAAATCAACATGGTACTGGAACCAAAACAGAGCCAAAGATCAATGGAATAGATTAGAAGATATAACCACAACTACAACCACCTTATCTTTGATAAAGGGGCCAAACATGTTCACTGGAAGAATGACAGTCTCTTTAATAAATGGTGTTGGAAAAACTGGCTCTCCATATGCTGAAAACTAAAACTAGACCCATGTCTATCACCATGTACTAAATTAAAATCTAAATGGGTCAGAGATCTGAATATTAAAACAGAAACAGTAAATCTATTGGAAGACAAATTGGGTAGAAACCTTGAAGACATAGGGGTGGGTAGAGAATTCATGAACAGGACTCAAACCGCATGGGAAATACTTCCCAGAATCAATAACTGGGATCACCTCTTATTAAAAAGTTTCTGCATGTCAAAAGAAATCTCCAGCATAGTGAAAAGAAAACCCACAAAGTGGGAAAAAATCTTAGTGAACTCTCCCTCAGACAAAGGACTTCTGTCTAAAACATATAAAGAATTAAAAAACATCAGGCCCCAAAATTCAAAGATCCAATCCAAAAATGGGCATCTGAGATGAATACACACTTCTCAGTTGAAGAAATACAAATGGCAAATAAATACATGAAAAAATGTTCATCATCATTGGTCATTAGAGAAATACAAATTAAAACCACACTGAGATTCCAACTTACTCCTGAAGGAATGGCCAGGATCAAGAAAACCATCAACAGCAAATACTGGAGAGGCTGTGGGGGAAAAAGGAACTCTCCTACACTGTTGGTGGGAGTGTAGACTGGTGCAACCATTGTGGAGGTCAGTCTGGAGATTTCTCAAAAAGCTGGGATTGGAAGTCCCATTTGTTCCAGCTGTCCCACTTCTAGGCATATTCCCAGAAGAACTGAAAGCATCATACCACAGTGATATATGTGCACCCATGTTATAGCAGCACAATTTGTAATCGCCAGATCTTGGAAACAACCTAAGTGTCCATCAACTGAGGAATGGATAAAAAAGTTGTATTTTTATACAATGGAGTACTACTCAGCTATAAAGAAGGACCACATTGAGATATTTATAAATAAATGGATACAGCTTGAGACCATACTCATAAGTGGAATAAATCAAACTCATATATCAATACCGAATAGTTTCCCTAGTGTAAGAAATGATTCAAATATATAAAAGTATGTGGTAATCATGATTCCCCGTTATGTGGCTTTGAAGCCTTATAAAGTTTTCCTTATTAATTGGAATGGCTTTATTCTGGGCTGTTTGATATTATTGCCTGTGATGATATAAACAGCTATTTTAAAGAAAACAGTACATCATAATAGCTAGTGCTGATTTAATATTATCTTGTTTTGAAGTCCCACCACACTGTTGTTCTTCTGTCTCCATTGGTTTTATCATTGTTGTATCTTATTTTATTATATGTGATAGTATAAACAAAGGTTTTTATAGGTAAAGAGATAATATAGAAACCATTGTTCATTTTCTGTTAGCTGGTTCTAAATACCCTGTAATACTTTTATCCTCTTGAATGGTTTCACACTGCCTTGATATGTTTGATGCCGTAGTATACAAAGTTATACTCAAATATTTCAAGGAAAGAGACACTATGGTAGCTACTATTAAGTTTGGTTATCTTGTGGTGAAGCACTAGGTCACTGAAATTGTTATGCTTTGACCTGTATTGTTACGTTGTTGTGTTCTCTTTTATCTCAATCTCCCCCTTATTCATTAAAAAAATTATTTATTTTTTATTATTATTTTTTAAGGGGAAAAAAATAAAAAAAATTAACAGGATATATTATAGTAACCATTGTTGATAACCTTCTATTCTGTTTTTACATCATGTGCTATGTCCATCCTTTGTTTTGACTGATTGCATTGTTTTGTCATATTTGGTTTTATTCTCTTCCAAAAAAAAGTAATAAGAACTATGGGAGTAATAAAACCCAAAATGTGTAAATTTTGTTGTAAAAAAGAGAGGGGAAAAATGTGCTCTAAAGGATACAACTGTAAGTGTGTTTAGGTGTGTTAAGATAGATGACCTTATTACTGAGTTTTTGTTAACATAACTGTTTGCAGTCCCACTGTTTGAATGTCCACTTTGTATCTTTTAATCCTGTGACTTGAACAACTATTTTTAAGACGACAATATTTAATCTATTAACTAGTGATTTCTTACTGTTTTTTTTGAAATTCTGTGTTACTTATACCCTTATACTGTTTTGTTTTTCTTTCTCCTTTAAATTAAAAAAAATTCTCTTCTGTATTTCATCCTTGTTTTTTTTCTTTAATACTTCAAATGCAATGATACAAGTTGTAGAAACATGAACAAAGAAGAAATGCAACCTGCTGAATTTTGACATGTATGGTATGACCCTCTCCCCAAAAAAGTCACTGTGTATTTTTTCTGTCTGTTGTAGGTTAACTAAGCCTCTGTCCTTTGCTGACTGTGTTGGAGATGAGCTGCCATGGGGATGGGAAGCAGGGTTTGACCCTCAAATTGGTGTCTACTACATCGATCACATCAACAGTAAGTTTCTTCAAAAATCCTAGTTATACAATTAGTTATACAATTATACAATACAAAAGGGTAAGCATTTTACAGAGTAAATTTTCTTACTTTAACATCTGTGTTTTCTTAATAACCAATATTTAACTGAAATGCTCATTTCGGTGTTCAGGATATGCCCGCAGAGCTGGCTTTATGGAGACAGAGAGGGGAAAGGGTGTGTCTGGTGCCCTGTCTCACTGGTGTGGCCACTGAGCAAGGAATGAGATTTCTGCTCCAGTGTTGGTTTGGAGGCCCATGGAGATCAAGAGCCATTGGGTTTCTCTTTATGTGACCCCTGAGCCATCATATTGGGGGTCCTGTTCTGACCCAAAAAGTGCTGGTTGGGGGCACAGTAAGTCTAAAGACATGGCTCATGTGGATTGGATGCCCTGGGGGAGGATTGGTGTTCCTCAGCCTTCTGAAAGACAGCGTAGCAATAGAAGAAACTGAGATGATTTTCTTCCTTCTGTTTTCTGATTTCTTTGTGGCAAAGAGGGGAAAATATCTAATTTTAATTTGTTTTAGATCCATTGTGGTAAGGGTAGGGCAGAGAATAACTGTGGCCATGAATAACTTTAAAAAACACACAAAGATTTTTTTATAGAGTTGTGTGTGTGTGTGTGTGTGTGTGTGTGTGTGTGTGTATGTCTTTCTACATGAATATTTGTTCTATACAGCCTTTTGAAAATTTATTCAGAAAAAAAAGAAAATTTATTCAGATGGTAGCATACAGTGATCACAGAGACTCACTTTGCTTATTTCATTTAAAAAGAATTATTTCCTTTTTATAGGCTTGTGGAATACATAATAAATTTATTCCCTATTTTCTTATTTCTCTTAGGCCTATTCTTACATTAAAAATCTTACAAACCATACATTTTAATGTTTAGGAACAGTATAACTAGAAAAGTGTTTGATGTAATACTCATTGGTGATGGTTTTCTTCTGAATATTTCTAAAAATTCCATAAGGAATTTTTAATTGTGAGTGTGTTATTGTTTTGTTTTTGTTTTTTATTTCACAGTGCTAGAGATTGAATCCAGGACCTTCTGAGTGTTAGAGTTCGTGTGGTTTTTTTTTTTTAGTTAGCTTTTAGTTTTTTGTTCTCTAATGAATATTTTTTGCCTGCTGTATTATATATTAGGTTTATTGCTTATCAGTGATTAATAACTAAATGTCATAATCTGTATGAGTGAAAAGGACTAGTATTGGTAAAATGAAGTTCATTTTAAAGAGATGTGCTTTACCTTTATGTCACTGCAAATAATTCAGTGGAAGTCTGAAATGTGTGGCTACTTAACTCACTTGCATGGATTTTAGATGGATAAAATTTAGTTTTCTTTCCTTAGATTAATATTTGGGAAACCACAAGCCAGTCTGGCTCTCTTGGATCAACAGTAGAAGCTCTTTTATGGTAACAAAATGAGAAAATGAATTCCCTGAAGCTCCCTCCCACCACCTGCAGGATATTTTCTTTTTTCTCAATAGAAAAGTTATTCTTCTGGACATTGCACCTTACCCTGCAGATAATTTTTAATCATTTTTCTATCCTTCTCTCCTTTTGGTTTTTTTCAGTTATTTTCTAGCTTTAAACATTTCTCCTACCAACTATAATAATTATTTTGTCTTAATATATAAATACTGAAATCTCTCAAAGTGAAATTAAACAAAAACTATACAAGAAGAAACAAGTAACAATAAATTTGTCCCTATCCCCTCAAAACCATCTTTCTACTCCAGTCCTTTACCATCTGTAGTCCTCTTTCCTGCCTTCATAGGAGTGACCAAACCTTACAGTCTGCGTGGGCTTCACTTCCGCTGGTATTCTCATGGTCTCTGAAACCACTGTTGCTGAGGTCTTCTGAGAACTTACAGATGACTAAAGGCTAACAGTGCTGTAGTCTTGTCTTCCTTGACTCATCATCATGGGTTATTCCTTCCTGCTGTTTTCTCCTTTGGATTCCAGGACACTATTTTACTGGAATTTCCTTTTTTATGACCACTTCTGTTCAGATTTCTCTTTGTTGTCTCTACTTCACTTGTGCCTGCTATTAGGATTTTTGTAATGGTCTTCTGCATTTGCACACTGCAGAGCTTCCTGGGTGATGATTTCAGTTATTCTCATCAGGTTACTGGCTGCCATATAGGTCCTTACATCTCTAGAGTTCCATGTACATGTATTTGATTGCTTGCTATACAGTTCTTCTCATTCTGTATCCACTGGGCTATTTTCATCTCCTGCTGGGCCTTGACCCTGGAGAATTCTCTAGGAATATCTTGTGTTTCCTTGGCTTTCTGTCTTTAAAAAGGTTTTGCTTTTTGTTAGTACATGTTTGTAATACACAATGATTACACCCCTCATGAGGAGTCAGTACATGTATATAACACTTCTCAACTGTTTTTTCATCTCTTTTTCTTCCTCTCCCACAAACCTTTCTTTGTTTCTTGGTCTCCTTCCTTTTCACAAAAGATCAGTCTTTTTCCAATTATATATCTTTTATTTTGTCCTTTATTTATATTTTGAGTTTCCCCTAATAAGAGGAACTGCGACAATTCAGCTTGTGTGTCTGATTTATTTCATTTAACTTTGTGGTCTCAAAGTGCATTAGTTTTTCATATCTGTTGGCCTAGCTGTAGAGTTGTATGTCCCCTAGTCTTTTCCTTTTAACCTTTGGTACATCTTTCTAGGGTTAGTCTGGTCATGTGTCACTGCTTTCCAGAGGTCTTCTCTAATATGCATCCCCTGGCTTTGCAGGTCTTTATGCCTTCTGGATTAGGTGCCTCTTCCAGATATTGCACAATATCAGCTACGTGGGAATTTTTAAAGCATTGTTATATTGCATTCAAATGTATTTATGCATTTTCCTTACTACACTGTGAGGTGAGGGTAGTCACTGTATCTCTTATTTCTTCATTCTTAGATACCTGGGATAATAATAATTTCTGAAGTATTAAATGGAAAGAAGTGCTTATTTTTAACTCATAGAATAAAATCTGATTTTTAAGGGAATTAAAATGCATTTTATATATAAATTATGCTACAGAAAGTTCCCCTCTAAATACATAAAAATTGGATTATGAGAGCATAAATTTCTAAGTCTATCACTTTGCCTTCGTGTAATAATTGTAACCTGCTCTCTGATAGATTTACTGTATCCAAAATTACAGAAATTACATACAGCAAGTAGTTTCCTCATTGAAAGGAATCCAGTCCATTAGCTCATTAATCTTTAAGACATTCTTGTGAAATAGTTTAGGGAACAAATGGTATTATCTTCTCATAACAGCTGGTTCACACATATGTTGTGTTTTGACGTTTTATAGTTTCAGCATTATGTTCTCTTTATTTAGATTAAAAAATGAAATAAGGAATGTTTAACTACTTAATACTGTTTCGAGAGACCCTATTAAATATTTAGAAATAGAAAGTTTGACCTTGACAGAAATAAGTATTTTAGACCTAAAGTTTTACATGTTAATGTTCACTTTCTAGTGAGTATTTGTGGTATGGGTGTAGCATTGCTGGGGGGAGGATTTGCCTAGAAGATAATTATGACTGATTGTTTGTAAAATTTTGATACTATTATAGCCAGAATGAAACCACTTTTTAATGGTGTCAGAATTGTACTATAATTTTTTCTTTAATTGAAGTGTTATTTATGTCCATGTAACTGCACAGATATATATTTTTAGTGAACTGTGGCAGATGTATAATCATTTGTAACTGCGTCCCCAGTCCAGATACAAATATTTTCATCACCTGGGTAAGCTTTATTCTGTCCCTATTCATTCTCTTCCTTCTGCTGCAAATACTGTTCCTATCACCATAATTTAGTTTTTACTATCCCAGAATTTAATGAAAAAAGACTGTGTTCAGGTTTAGAAATAGATTCTTTTATTCATGTGTTTTTGAAGACTGTACAATTGATAAACAGTGACATAGGAAAATGTCTTACAAGTGTATTTGACAAAATTCATACCCAAGACATATAAAGGATTCTGAAAAATTAGTATTAAAAGACAATCCAATTTAAAAATAGACAATAGACATAGATACTTCAGACAAATAGTCCCCTTTGTATTCATTTTTGATATTATTTATATTAGAATATTTCTTTTTATTGCTGAATAATATTCTGTATGAGAGATCCTAGTTTTAAAAATCTATTCTGCAATTTCAGTAGTTTTTAGTTTCAAGGCTACCATGAGCATTGTTATTTAAGTCCTTACTTTTATTGTAGTAAGAAATACATAAGATTTATTATGTTAATTTTTTTTATTTTCTGGTGGTGGTGGAATCAAACTTAGGGCACTGGGTATGCTAGGCAAGCCCTGTAGCACTTAACTCCATCCCTAGTTCATTAACATTTATAAGTTTGCAGTTCATTTTAGTATTGACTCATTGCACTTAGTTGTACAGCAAATTTCCCGAAAATTTTCAACTTGCTAACCTAAAACTCTGTATCCATAGGTCAACTCCCTTTTTTCTGCTCCTTGCTTCTGCGTACCACCTGTCTCACTTTATGATTTTTAAAAGTTTGACTTCTTTTAGCTATTTCATTTATTTTTTGAAATAGGCATTTGTGATTAAGATTCATCCATGTTGTAGCACAGGGCTTTCTTCTTTTTAAAGGCTCAATAACATTCTGTTGTAGATACATACTACATTTTCTTTATTCATTTGATGGACATTTAGGTTGCTTCCCATTCTTGGTTATTCTAAATGATGCCATGTTGATGTGGATATACAGACATCTCAAGATCTTGTTTTTAGTTGTTTTGGTAAATACCCAGAAGCAAGATGGCTGGATGATAGTTTATTTGTTTTTGTTTTGCAACACTGGTGCCTGAACTCAGAGCCTCATGCATGCTAAGCAAGCACTCCACCACTGAGGTAAATGTCCAGTCATTTTAAAAATTTATTTTGAGATAAGGTCTTGCTAAATTGCCCAGGCTGATTTGAATTTACTATTCTGCTA